AATTAGCATTCCATCTGTAGAGCAAAACTGCTCTGGTGCATGTAGGTAAGCCACTTCGCCATATTTCATTCCTGATATGCTGAAAATATAGAATTTTGGATTTTGGATTAAAATCTTGAATTAGGGACAATAACTAGCTAACTAGAAGTAGCAGAAGTAGCCATAAACAGGTTGGGGAGAAACCTTCAAACTGATATTTAAGTGAAACATTTCACTGCTGTGCTGCCTTTGTGTATATATTCTCACGAGTGAGTTTCACTAAAACATTGATAGGAAAAATAATTGATGTACTTCCCTATATTATCACCTTCTTCTCATAATAGATCCCATAATTCCTTGTTAGGACAGATCGGTGTTTGGGTGTAGATGAGGGCTGGTGGATCTGGCAGCCTCATAAGTGAGGGCAGTCAAGGAGAAAAATTGTATCCCAGTGACAATTCCCAGGTCATGCCTGTGGTAATTGAAATAACTTTGACTCTTGAGTTGTTTAATCATTGACAATCTCATGAATGGTGGAGAGGGACTAATTACATCTGCCCCTCCCCCCTCCCCAACTTCCCTTAAGAATTTGACTATCTGGTCAAATTGACTTCTTGGATCAAATTCTAATGTAATGCTGCTCATATCTGTTCTGCTATATTGCTTCTGGATCTTTTTACAGATGGACAGGTTAAGCCTTCTCTACTTTCCATGTAGAACACCAGCATTGTTCCAAGCATGGTTAATAACACAATAGTTCCATTAAAAAAGCCGATGAGAGATGTGACAAATCATTTGTCTGTTATTAACCCTGAGTCTGTAATTATGCAAATTGCCATAGATTTTCCCTTGATGCTTTAAAGTGTGATCTGGGGCTTGTTCTCTGCATGCCGGGCAGACGGGAGAATGGTCATGCATTACTGAACTTGCCACATTCATCATGTTGACTGATGGCACAGGGAGTCAGTCCCCGGGTCCTGGTGGTTAATGTAGTGGGTAATTAACTGTCATTTGCCTAGTAATAGGACGATGATCAATGGTTTGTGAGGAAACAAATTCTAATACAGAAGCTGATGAATGCATGCCGAGGCTGGAGCAATTTATGTGGCAGGCAAGACAGGAGGTGAGGGCTGGGCAAAAGAAACGGAGCACGCAGCTTCCAGCAGACCTTCTTCTTTCTCTAGCTTCTGCTTCTGTCTGAGCAGTTTACACATAAAAGTCTTCACTGATTGGCCCTTTTTGTTAAAGATTGTCCAATAACCTGTTTTTGTTTCTTATTTTACTAAATCACAATGATTAAGATGTATTCTGTTTTCAAATCACCATGCTAAAGGTAAATAAATGCAGATTGTGACGCAGCACGCCAGACATAGAAGCAGGTGAGTCCATGGGCAGCTGTGGTTCAATGAGAAGAGAAGGCATCTGGTAATGTGAAGTTTGTGGGTTTGATTCCAGCTTCCCTGTATGAGCAAGACACAAAACCTAGAGTGGCTTTGTGAGTGAGTTTGGTGAATGTGCTTCCAAATGTAAAAGAGCTTTGAATTGTAAGTAGGTATGAATAGAAAATGGCACAGAAGGCATTGTACATTACAGCTTGATTTGCCACTGGTGAGTGTCACTACAGAAACCCTCAAATATATCTCAGCTTCGTCAAGCTGTTTTGTCAATTACAGAAGAGATTTGAACTATGAGTCACCACTGCTCCTTTCTGTTTGGAAAGTCCTAAACTGTGGATGTTACTAAGCAACACACTGCAGAGTCCCTCAGTATGGATCTAGGGGAAGCCGGGGTAAGTTGGGCCACCTGTAGTCCAGCACACCTGAATGGCTGAATGACCTCCTATTTTATTTTATTTTACTTTTGATATTTTCACTTTTCACTTTTGACAGCTCTTTAAAACTAGATAAATAAGTTAGTTCTGTCGTTAAATCGAGTTTCTACCACCTTCGGCTTTTAGCAAAAGTTAAATCTTACTTCTGTTTTAAGGACTCTGAAGGACTTATCCATGCCTTCATAACAACTCGTCTGGATTACTGCAACTCTTTATATAGAGGGTTGGATAAATCACAGATTCAGCGACTTCAAATGATCCAGAACGCAGCAGCACGGCTTCTTACAGGAACCAGGAAGCATGACCATATAAGGCCAACTCTGGGATCTTTACACTGGCTGCCTGTCTTTTATCAAATAGATTTTAAGATTCTTTTGTTAACTTTTAAAGTTTTAAATGGGTTAGGCCCCCCTCCCCCCTTATCTTCGGGACCTTTTAAAATTCCGGTCTGTGTCCAGAACTTTATGGTCAAATAATCAGTTATTACTGACAGTTCCTCGGACTCGACTTAAGAGGAAAGGAGATCAAGCTTTTTCTGTTGCTGCTCCTGTTTTATGGAATAACTTACCTTTCCAGATTAGATCTGCCCACAGCCTGGGTCATTTTAAATCACTTCTTAAAACTCATTATTACTCTTTGGCATTTAATTGACATATTGTTGTGTTCTGTTTTGTCATTTGTGTTGTTGTTTTTGTACAGCACTTTGGTGCAGTTTTATACCTGTTGTAAAGTGCTATATAAATAAATTTGACATTGACATTGATATAAAAGTAAAATAATCCAACTGGGGAAATTCAGTTGATTGAACTTAACCTGTAGAGAGAACCTGTAAATATTTCAAACCTAAAGTATTTAAGGTTTGAAATATTTTAGCTTTGTTTGCTGGTGGGTCAGCATGCATTAAAGGAGCGTCTTGCACCCCCTGCCTGGCCATTTGTGATAAATTTGACCACCTCTTGTTCTCAGAGTTTTTTGCATTTATATATTGAATAAAAATATATAATTTATACAAGTACATAAGTTACATTTTTACCTGTTAATTTTTACCATTGAACTACTTTTCCCATCCACCCATGTCTGAAGATTTGTCCCATATTGTGTTGAGTTTTGCTAACAATGATAATTGTGTCTGGATTTCTGAAGGTAAAATCCATCTCTTCTAGGTTACATCCTCTCTGGAGGTTAATAACCAGGCCTGACTATCCCACATCCTGCGATCATTTATCAATTGGTGTTCTCTACAGGCTCTCAGAGCTGCATGCAGTTTTGTCATTTTAACACAGGTTGTGAAAAGAGCCTCAAGAACTTTGCTTAATAGCTTATTTTGCTTTATGATTTTGTTATGTTATTTCTGCCACTGGCTGCTGGATCCAGGTTGCTGTTTAGTAACAGGCCCCTGTAGTCAGTGAATGTTCACAATGTGCATGCAGCAGTGAAAGCAATGTTCCATCTTCTTCTATGATGCCAACTGTAGCTCACACGCTCAAAGAATAAAAATAAATAAATAAATAATAATATAATAATAATTAATAATAGGATTCCATTTGGTGTGTTGTGGTCTGTGAATAAAAATCATGTTTAATTGGGGCCTAAAACATAAGACAATTTCAAATGATGTAAGATATTCTTAATTGTTTCTAACTAAAGTCTTGATGTATGACAGTTTTGAGTGGTGCATTTATTGTTTTGAAATTAAAAAAAAAGACACTTTTGAAAATGTGTTTTTACAGCTATTATTATGAAGAAAATATGAACTGTGGGAAAATGCTGTTGAATATTTTGGAAGGAATGCTTCAGCATCAGTTAACACAAGCTACGGTTGATTGTTTTTAGTCTAGAAGTTACCAGAAAATCACCTGGTTAAACACCAAGTTACAGTACATCTGGACATATTCACACTTTTCCTCATTTTATTAGGTTGCAGCCTTATTCAAAATGCCATCCATCCATCCATCCATCCACTCACCCACCCATCCATCCATCCATCCATCCATTCATCCATCCATCCATCCATCCATCCATCCATCCATCCACCATGTGAACACATTTATCATTGCAAGTTGTGAGGAGAGCTGGTGCTTATCTCCAGTGGTCTATTCCAAATTGTATTAAATTAATCTCTTTCCTTAAAATTCTGCTCTTAAATGCTCCATTGTGACGGTGTGGATTTTTTTGAGTGTTTTGCAAATTTATTAAAAATAGAAAATCAAAAAGTCGCATTTATGAACATATTCTTAGCCTTTGCTTAATACTATGTTGATCTCCCTATGGCAGCTCAGTTGTTTTTGAATCTGAGCCAGCAGCTCAGCTCACCTCTGTTGAAGCAGTTTGGTCCGTTCTCCTCTGCAGTTCTTCTGAAGCTCCATCAGGTTGGATGAATGGCGTCTGTTGGCCATCTTCAGATCTCTTCAGAGATTTTCAGTTAGATCCCAATCTGGACTTTGGCTTGGCCTTCCAGGATGTCCACAGAGAGGTTCTGACGCCTCTCCTTTGGGTTGTTCTGCTGAACAAATGAAGCGACACTCCAGTCTGAGGTCAAGACGCTCTGCAGCAGGTTTTCATTCAGGATGTCTCCATTGCTGCATTCATCTTTCTATCCATCTATCTATCTATCTTTCTATCTGACTAACACTTCCTGTTGCTGTGGGACCTTATAGAGACAGGTGTGAATCTTTACAGGTTAAGTTCAATCAACTGAATTTACCACAGATGGATTAATTTAAACTGTAGGAACATCTCAGGGATGATCAGTGAATTTAAGTAAAGACTGTGAATATTTACATAAATGTGATTTATTCTGTTTTCTACTTTTAGTAAATTTCCAAAAGACTGAAAATGTTGGGGGTTTTTTTTCATATTGTCATGATGGATCATTTGTATGTAGAAATGTGAGGAAAGAGATTCATTTATTACAATTTGGAAAAAGGCTGTTGCATAACAAAATGTGAAAAAGTGAAGTGCTGTGCAGATGTTCCAGATGTATGTTGAATGATTATTCAAGAAGATAACCACTTATTCATTACAAGTGATTGTTTAATTAATTCTAATTGATCTTGTGATGAATTCAGTTTTTTTTCCACATGATTAGTAAGCTTTGAAACTTATCTGATAATGCTCTTTCTATCTTGGAATAATTAAGACATTTTTAATGTTTCCTGTATTTTGTATTGTTTTGGATTAAATCATATCTTGTGTGTCTTTGTGGTTCAGGTTGTTTGGTGTAACAGGAAACTGCGCAGCCTGCAGCAAGCTAATTCCAGCCTTTGAGATGGTGATGAGGGCAAAAGAAAATGTCTATCACCTGGACTGCTTTGCATGCCAGCTCTGCAATCAAAGGTAAGTTGCTACATGGACTGTGTTCCTCCCACCCATCCTCACATGCTGATATAGGCCAGGAAGAACTGGGGCACCAATGAACAAACCAGCAGGACAGATCGAATTCAATTCATTCAGTTGTTTTTTCTATTACCAGATATTCTCTCCACAATGACATCATCTGATAACAAATTATTTAAATTACATTTGAACTGTTCATTCTTACAGTTCTTAATTGCTCGCAGTGTTTAGAAGAACAGGAATCATGAAACGTATTTTATTTCTAAATCAACATCTGTGATGTCATCAGTGAGGGCTGGATTGTGTTGATGGATCTTCATAGGCTCTCAGCCAAAAGTCAAAGAGTTGCGTCTGGAAGTTGTGTGTCTGTTTGGGATCATTTAAGACTGATTTCTTGAAATATTATTGCCAGAAATATACTGATATTAATGAATCTATGGTGTTGAACCAGGATTATAGAGAGAAAAGGTTTGCTTAAAGGAAGGCCATAATTTAGAAACGAGACATTCACTATTTAATATTCTTGATTTGATGTGGTTTATTTATTTGAAAGGAGATTAAGGACCAGCATAATTTAATAAAAGCTATGATAGTTCATGAATTTAAAAAGCCAGAATTAGCCAAAAGGCTATTTTTTGGTAACACTTTATTTGAAGGGGTGTGCATAAGACTGACATGACACTGTCATAAACATGACATAACACCTGTCATGAACATGAAGAAGTCTTTATGAATGTTTATGACAGTTGTCATGAAGTGTCATTTGGTAAATGACACTTTTAATGCAAAGTTGCTCTAAAAGTCCATTAAAAGTGCCAACTTTGCATGATTTTGTAAATAATGACAATTTAATGCAAAGTTGGCATTTTTAATGGACTTTTAATGCAACTTTTAGAGCAACTTTGCATTAAAAGTGTCATTATTTACCGAATGACACTTCATAACAACTGTCATAAACATTCATAAAGACTTCTTTAAGTTCATGACAGGTGTTATGTCATGTTTACGACAGTGTCATGTCAATCTTATGCCAGGGTTTCCACCTTTCAGAAATTAAAATAAGGGACCAGTCCCTATATATGTAAAGCTGGGG